TTGTCTTTGTACTGAATTGTGCTATACAAATAAATTTGCCTTGCCTTTGCCTTACTACATTTGGACTCTGGTCCACTGTTGGTGGGGGGCAATCCATGACACACAAGAGAAAAGCTGAAATTGAAAATAAATTATAACTCTACCAAAACAAAACAATAGTCAAGCTATTACAAAAAGGCAAAAAGAATAGTGTTTCTGATGGAAACCAGTGAGCAGAAATGAAGAAAATCTGAAAATCAGTTTATATTTTAGCTTTTAGTAGCAAGTAAAAGTGATGCTGAATACTTGCAGCCTCAATAAGACTAATTAATTTTTTTTTTTTTTTTTGCATATGTAAGACTGATAATACCCTGTACAGGATTATAACAGGCTTAAGTTATTGTCTTTTCTCTTTAAATGAGCTAGGATGGTTGGGTTGGTGGGGTGAGAGAATGTATCATGTCTAAAGCAGCCCCATGGGAAAATGTGTGTGTTTGTGTTTCTGTGTGTTTGCTAAAAAAACACCATCCGGACTGAGACAAGCCAAAGGCCTGTCTGTGTGTCCTTGGAGCTTTCTAGCTGCTGTGAGTCAGACTTCGGAGGCTGAGGGGTGTGAGTTGAATTCTGATTTCTCAAAAACTTCCAGGAAGGTCAGAAGGAAGCTTAGCAGCCATTTTTACCCCATTAACATCCGATTTACAGATTAGGTTTACATCAGATATCCATCATATCCCAGAGAAAGTTTGTTTTTTAGATACTTAACTGATATTCAAATATTGTAACCAAGGACCTACTAAAATTACTTAAAGATAAACTGCTGTATGTAAATTCACAACTGCCTTAAATCAAATGTACTGATCTTTTGTGTGCAAGTGAAAGCAAGCTTTATGTCAGAGAATCATATGAAAGATCTGTTTATGTCAGATTTAGTTAAATCATATTTATAAGCTGTAACATGCGGCCGAATACGGTGGGTACATTTTTCACTCTTGGTTTCATGGCAGCCATTTGCTAAAATCAATAAATTGTCAATAAATGTACACGCAACAACCGATCTGGACAAAAACAAAACAGAAATGTAGAATAAAAAAAAAATTTATAAAAAAGAAAAACTGAAATATCACATCGTCAAGTTTTTTGCCTTTTGTAACTGCTTATTGATGTGCAATTATATGAGTTAAAATGATGGCGCTATTTTTGATTTATTGCTTTTTGTTTTTCTTTTTATTTATCTTGCTCGATGTCCTTATAAAGCTGAAAGTTATTTTGAGTAAAAGGCAAAAACCAAATTGTTTAGAACTGCCTTTGACTGCTGAGGTTAAGCTGTTAACTGAGGTATTACCGTATTAGTTTAACCTCTCAAAACCCACCAGGTCGCCGACGACCCATTTTAAGTTTTTACAAATAACAACTCAGAATGCATGAAAATTACACCGGTAAAATATTAACCACGTTAGACATTGTTGGAAAGCTTAGAATCTCCACAATTCAACCACCTAGATTCTTTTATGGATATAGTGAGCACCAAAGCACAATTAACACAGATATTGCAGCATGTCAAAATGTACCATGAAAAAGCAGCCACAACAAGCAAGCATGTCTTTATAACTACTGTTCAAAAAACCTATTATTTTCGAGAATAAAAAAAACAACTTTCAGTCATGTTTGACCTGATGCAGCTTGGGTGTTTTACTCCCCCAATTCCCATGCATATATTCAGAAACTAGAAGGTGTTAGCTTTCAAATAATGTAACACACATGTAATTTGGGCTTACAGTTCCTCAGTTATTTGCTTTTCCATTTAGGTATGCAAAATAGGTGAGAATTTCCCAAAATGAGGTGGATATTAAGAGGTTTAGGTTGTGTTCCAACTGTTTTATTTGTTTTACTCATGTTTCTGTATTTATTGCTTTTATTCTGCTTTTATTTTTCTTATATTTCATTATCTAACACATGCAAGTACTATCCTGACTCCGCCAGATGGATTTGCTCCGCATATCCATCTGGAAACCTTC